ATTGAAATACCAGAGCAGCACCAAGAAGAGATAATAAAAAGTCTTTTGTTATACTTTTTGAAGAGGGAAGAAAATGAACAGGCTAAACCATACTCTAGTAACCACACACACACCTATTAATGCAAGGCTCAGCAGGTACCTGAGTTCAAATGCTCTTGTCTCGCCTCTCCTGCAGGACTTTGCCAACACCATTCCAGGCCACGGTGGCATCATGGATCGATTCGACTGTCAGTACCTGATGGCCACCTTTACACACGTCTATATAGCCAGCTTCATCAGGTAAGAAGAGGAATGGAGGCTCACAGGGAGATGTGTCTGATAGTGAAATCAAAAAATGTGTCATCATTTTCCTTAGTCCTTAGTTCCTTAGTTAGTTCCAAAGTCATTTAAACTTTTTTTTCATAAAGCACCTGATGGCTGTGGAATAAACAACATGTCAGTAAAAAAAATCAGCAACCATACTGGATTCCTAACAGTATTACTGCAGTATAATGACGAGCAACAAGTGTAAAACCTAAGTGACAAATCTATAATATCACAGCAGGAAACAGACTGTCTGCTTATAAAAGTTGAGTAAGCAGGAACCTTGAGAAGCTCAGCAGGCCGCTATAAACTGCAAGGCGGGGAGTCGATGGCGTTTGTAGGCTACTTTTAGGTAGCCTTTCCAGTTTGGGTAACGTTACTTGCACTGAAGATAAACGATAACACCTTACAGCCAGTGGAAAACACAGTAAAGCTTGTTAATCAAACTGCTGCATTGAATGGACTCTATTGATTTTGGACAAATTGTGCCACATCCCTTCAAAATATAACATTACACCCTTCAGGAATATTATTGCAAACTAGACTAACTGATTTCAGGATAATCAAAACTTCTACATTTTTCCCTTAAATTCTTAAAAGTGTAGGTCTGTTGTCTCTCATCAGACAACATCATTATCCCACAGTTCAGTCTGGTCTTTTAGAAAACACTGTAACAGCTCACATAGCCAATAGGGGTCAGCTGGCAGTAAACATGCAAGCAGATTATCTCACTAGCAGAAGTGCTAGCTCAGCTATGCTCATTTGTCATGTGACCTTCGCCTTGAACTTCCCTTCTGTGTAGTAGTCCCGTGGGAGTCTCCTCAGGGACCTAAAGGTACAGAAAGTGCAGGAGACAGTTTCTGTCAGATTTTAGAACCTCTGTTGGTCCATAAAAGGCTGCTAGAGTTGTTATTCCTTAGTTTTTACAGGTTCTTAGTTGCGGTTGTAAGATAAAGTAGCTTTTTTATGCTTGTTTCCATCGTGGTTACATTTTTAAATTGTCATCTTGCAGGGGACCGAACCCAAGCAAGGTGCTACAGCAGCTGTTGATGCTTCAGCCTGAACAGCAGCTCAGCATTTTCCACACTCTGCACTCCCACCTGAGAGAGAGGGACATGCTGCCCCCCGCTGCTGCCCAGGCTGAATGAAAGGCCGCCGGCTTCACAGGGTGATGACTGGAGAGTGTGTGTGATGATTTGGAGAGTTTGTGTAAGCATGTACACACGCACACAGGCACACACACACACACACTTAAGTATGGCTGTATGGTGTGTGATCCCAGGCCTCTGGCCGAGCATCCATCGTCATCCTGTCTGCTCTTCATTCAACTTCCAACCAGCTCAAAACCACCATTTTGAACCTGAGGTCACTCTCCAGACTACGTGGAACAACGTCACAGTGAAACAAAAAAAAACACACAATACCAAAAAATAATAATAAAAAGAAATAGGTGGTTTTGTTGCTTTCCACTTGGACTGGCACATAAACAACAACACGCTTCACGAGCAAACAGGCAGTCCCCATCCTAAAAACGTACAGACTGAAGATATAATGTCATATCAGAACAAAACGGACTCTAAAGCACATGGCTTTTTCAGCGCGGGTGGATGGTGGATGTGCAGTTTACCTGTGGACGGCAAATATTGCACTGACTTCAGCTGAAGAAACGGATTTGAGAAACTTTTACCAGCATAAACTGGGCCCAAAATGTTGGGCACGTGGACCTGAGGTACAGCAAACAGACTGCTGAGACTTGTCTTTCTGGGGTTTGGGTGTGGGTGAAGCAGTGATGCAGCAGGGTTGTCATACATACTCTAGGCACTGTTTTATAGACTATGCTCTATTTAATGATCCTAACCTCACAGCATAACTAAACATGTAGCATGTACGAAAGTCCTGTCTTGGGCTACTGCTAAACTAAGCCATGTTCTCTTCTTCCACAGTGTGAACCTTTAGCTTTTAGTCTTCTGTCTAAATCTAAATAACTTGCACAGTTAAAGTCAATAGAAAATTGACTGTAGGCATGTTAACGCAGAAACTAGAGCATCAGCACTAGAGCATCAACACTCAAGTTATATGTATTGTACATAAATATACTGGAAATATTTAGCTGAACAACTACGGAATAAATACTATAACTATTTGTGTGACCTACTGGGGAAAAAGAAAAACACTTTTAAGTTATGAGAAATGATATGCAAAAAAAAGAGATTTAACTCATTTGTAGCCTTTAGCATGAACAAAATAGATTTTTAACAGGTAGGGATGTAGATTTGAGATCTGCAGTTGCTGCTTTAGAGGGTGTGCTGGGTGACCCTTTATTATAGATTGTAAAAAGAATTTAAAGGAATAATTTGACATTTGGAAAAATATGCTTATTCTTGCTGAGAATTACATTAGAAGATCAATACCACTTCCACGTTTGTGCGTGAAGTATGGAGCTGCATTAACGAATGCAATGTTGGCGAACAACAGTTGCGTACAGTAACTTCCCGCAGTTGTTACAGTGACGCCCAGAAACACACAAGAACAGTTTGTGCACACAATGAAGAGCAGCACAAAATTCTACAAAGCAGCTAACTTGGATGCAACACACTACTTTAGAACTTAAATAATCACAATTTTTATTTTCTGACCAGATATCCACAATCCTCTCTGACTTTTGTTGCCAGAATCCTGTGAGACACTCAGTGTGGAGGCTAGCTTATGTGAACTTTGGCTGCAAAACATGGGGGAAAATCAGCGTAGTGCACAGCTATGCCAGCAAGCAAGTGTTGAGTGGACCCTTAACAATAGTTGTCTTAGACTACTACTGCTAATTGTATTTGTTTTAAAAATTATATAAACTTTATATAAATGATATAAGCCAGATTGATGGTCATGTCTGAGCTTTAACTTTGAAGCTGCTTCCAGTCTTTATGCTAAGCTAGGCTAATCACCTCCTAGCTCCAGACTCCATACTAACCGCACATACATGAGCGTAATATTGATCTTCTTATCGAACTTGGGAGGAAAAAATGCAAATAAGCGTATTTTCAAAATGATGAGAATAACTATTCCTTTAAAAAAAGACTGTGCTTCCTTTATCGATTTATCCAATGATTTTAGTTGCACTGTAGCAGTGGGGATGAGGGAAGGGTGGATGCATCAGACCACTCTGAAGGTTCCCACATGTTCATACTCAATGTTTGTTAAACTGTTGAAAAACATCTTGCTATTTGAGAGTCTTATGCATTAAATCAGTCACTTACTTTAAGTTTTGAATGTAGTTTGCAATATAAGATATCAATGATAACACAAGATTTGAGTACATTTGGAGCCTATATACAGTACAGTATATGTGTATGTACTGTACTGTACTGTATATACACATATCTTTATGTATATAAACATCTATTACTCTAATTTTATGCAAGTTGCAGTTTGATAAAGGGTTGGATAATTTAATTCTACAGGAAATGTGTGGCATTTATTATTAATCACATGTTCACCAGTGTGATAAATGACACAATGCATTATGAGCGTGTTACGAGGCTGTGTTTGCGGCCAATGAGATTCTCTGATTGAAACCAGATCTTTTCAGAGAGAAATGTTTACCAAAGCACTGTCTGATTAACACTGATTTCCTTCCGTTATTGTCAAGCTCCAAGACCCAGGTCCAAACTGTCTCCTTACTATTCCGACAACCTCTCTTTGTTCTGAAAAATGAAAAACCAAGGAGTTTGGAACTGGGACGCAGACTGGAGTGCTAACATTTGAATCTGTGGCCTGTGCAATGTGTGTCACTGTTCACTTCCTTAAGTTGTTGGACGACGAGGATGGTATAATTTATTTGTCCGGTTTGTTCTGTGCATGTTTTCTTCATAGACGTGCATTTTAGCGTGTTTTCCCCATTTGAAGTGAATAGGGGCGATGGGTGGATTTTTGGGACCAGCTGTATTGTACTGTATAAATCTATGACTAAATCCTGTCTCTGGTTAAACACACACTACTGCTTTACAGGTGTTTCTGTATTCAACCATCACTGTCCAACTTACATACTGAACAAGAACAAGCAAAGCATGTTGACAGGTGGGCAGTGTTCAGACTAAAGCAATCTGACCAAAAATCAACACAAACAGCTGACAGTCAAATTATTTAGATGTTTTTAAAGCTGTTTTATATAGGAGTATGGTGTGCGCCACTGGAATAATAAAAAAAGTAAAATGTGAAAAAAGTCAGAAAAACACACTCAATTAATCAATTCTTAAAATAGTGAAGTATTTTGTACATCTGTCTTAAAACACAATAATAATAATAATAATAATGGGCAAACAAGTGTTTTTATGAACATTATCAATCATAAGTTAATGTTATTACTTTATAATATATATATATATATATATATATATATATACTTTACAATTAAGTATGAACTGTATTATTCAATTGGCACACTCGAGACTCCATAGTTTTACAGATCTAGTTGAATTAGATTTAAGCTGATGTGTGGACTAATTTATATTTTTATTCAAGTTGTGAAGGTAAAACACTTGAGGTACACAAATGTAAAGGTAGGACAGAAACAGGTAGTTTTTAGTAGCCAAATGGTAATGACGCACTGCAGTTGTTTGGTTGCTTGTCTTTTTAATTTATCATTTTGTGTATATTTTGTGTAATTTGCTTTGAGCCGACATGTTTTCTAATGAAAATCTATAGCTTTTGGAGTGGATAAGATTAAAAATGATATTGAGGAAGAATGCTGTTAATATAGGGGCAATACAAAGTAATGTATGAACCACATATTGATATCTTGTTAGGGATATTGTGAAGATGTTTACTGTATGGAAGTGAATAAAGTTTTTTTTTTCTTTAAAATGTCTTACATGGTGTTGATTATGTTCCATGTACTCCAATAATGACAGGACAGAGAATTCGCTTTAACATTAAAAGTAACAACTTCAGCTTTACTCACAAAACAAAACTTGACAGTTTGTGATTTGACATAAAACAAAAAGATTTCTCACAGTGTGACAGAGCAGATGCATTGTTTGCACTTGTGTAGCTATTACAAACAGGTAACACGAAGCATTGAGAATCTGTCAAAGGGAGTATACGGAGGGGAATATTTGGAGAGGGATACAATATCTGGCCTCAACAAACAAAGCCACCATGTTAAAGGAATGACAACAAAAGACAATTTGACCGTAACTTGAAAAATATACAAATACAGTTGTTTATATGACAAATACATGAAGTCAGAGATATTACAGTGCTCCCATCTTAATAAACCAACAGATCATTAGATACAAATACTCAGAAAACATATCGCTTGTATGGTGGGAGCTGCTGTTAAGTCATCCTTAACAGACTTAGAACAAGACAAACAAAAGAAGCCAGAGATATGACGTGACGTGTCCAACCAATCACAAATGGTACATGAACAGTATTTTTGTTGTCATTCTTTCAACTCTGTGCTTTGTTGATATAAATCTAAACCTTCTCCATCACCTGACAGGTTCCCGATAAAGTGCATCTCAGATTTAAGTTCCCTTTGAGTCTGTATCAAACACATAATTATACATCATAGCACATCACGTCATCATTACAGCGATGAAAATGGCTTCAGTATCTCAGGACTATTTAACAGAACAACAGTGACCCCATCTGGAGAAATTTACTATACCCAGTTTTATGAACATCTCAATAAAAACAGTAATAATTTAAACTGATTTATCCTTAATATAATATAATAACATTGGGTTGACATTACTTAAAAAAAACATGAAATCATTATCACCGACACTAAAGCCAGCCATGCACAATACAGCTTTAGGGGTCATGTAAGTGCGCAGTCTTTCTATTCAATGATAATAGTGGAACCAAAACAGCAGTTTGACAGATTTGAAATGGTGATATTACATTCAAGTGGGCATTACACAAATAAAAAAAATAAAATAAAAAATATTTCAAACTAGTGCAATTAGAAATTGAATAGGCGTACCCGTTCAGTACTACGTTCAGTGTTTAAAGTGCTGGACATTTCCGACTTAAACCCATGCTTGTTTGCTAACAACTCCAACATTTACATTGGGGCAAAAGTCTGAAAGGAGAAAACTTCCCTTGTCCTACACAAAGTATTCGAATACTTCAGCCATCAGCTCTTATTTAGGAAACCGAATGCATCTGGACATACTTCAAAATCTCTGGGTAAAAAAAATAGTAAGTTAAGGCAGAATTAAAACCATAGAAGTTGGACGGATAGTTTATCTTACAGAATCTGGCACAGCAACTGAAGAATAATTAGAAAAACCTGTTTTGTCTGTTTAACTCATTCAGGTTGAAGTGAATAATCTAGTTCAGCGAAGAACTAGTTTACATAATTTCATCCCTTTAGACAGAAAATAGCCATTTTCATGTTTGACCTTTTGCTACTTCAGGACGAAGTGAGCGATAAAATCAAAGTGGGAAACCTTACTGTGGTACAACTTTGGCTTTTAAGCGCTCAAGGATGATTTATGTTGTTGATTATTCACTAATCAAAACTAGCATGAGTATATTCTTCAGGTTAACAATTAAATGAATAGATAGGCTTTGGCTGTCAGTATCCTTCACTACTCTGGTCCACTGAGAGTTTTCTAAATCTCTACGACTTCCATATTTCGCCTTCAACAGGTCACATCTAATCCCATTTGCACTGATTCAAGAATGGAACCAGTTTAAATGCTGAAAAGAGAACAATCTTCTTCATGTGGTTCCCAATTCAAACCCTTACAGTAACTCTTTCAGAGACCAAGCATTTAAGCTATAATGCCTCACTCTTCTGTCAGATAGCTTCATTTTCTGTGGCCCTTCAAGCTAGCTAGGTGACTAAAGCGTTGAATGGCACTCTCGTCTCATCTTCCTCTTCTACAATAGACCTCGGGTCGGGCCTATCAGGACAGAAAATAAGCCGTAGCAAAGCTAGCCCAACGCGCACCAACAGCCTCAACACAAGGAAAGCGAAAGGCACCGTAATCATCATCAGGTGGAAAATTTGGGCGCTAAATTTACTCAAAATACATGTGAGGAAAAACGTCCCCAGAGCTACACAGGGGTACAAAGCCAGCTTAGCTAGCATGAACGCGTGCTCGCGTCCGCCATAACGTACATAAGGGTGCAGAGTTTCATGTTCATTGTAAAGAGCAACCACCCAAATAGTGAGCTGAAATATACCTGCGAAGAATATGATCACGCAGCTAATCTGAATGGCTTCCAGTTCGTTGCGAGAGTTGTGTGGGAATTCGTGTGTTAGCTGGTAGGCTAAAGGCAAACCTCCGACAAACGCCAGTGAGAAGGTGTTCAGCAGGCCCATAAAGCGCGTGGCCTTGGTCACATGGAGGAAGAGCGAGTGGTGCACAAACCAGAGAAGGCCAACGGTGGCGAAGGAACCAAAGTAGGCTAGGTACTCTGGGCCGTAGACCTGCAGAGCTGCTATCAGGCTGCCACCAAACTGCTTCTGCACGACAATGGGGTCTGGAACGTTGTCCTCACTAAATGAAGGAACCAGAGAGGATAAACGTTAAGAGACAAAACTAAGGTTGTTTTCAGCAAGTAGCTACAGAGTTCCAAGCAGCTTTGAAGAGGCATCAAAACTACTTGGTTTGGTTTGGAAAAGATCATGGTTTGGGGTACAATAAGTGCATTAGTTGTGTCAGTTAAGTTACATACGTAAGTTGGTGATACCAACTTGTGTATATCTGGAACAACGGGCCTCCAGAATAACGGGCTATTGGACAAATAAATAATGGGACATTTTTCTGACATTTTAGAATAGTGGCCCGTCAGAACAATGGCACTGTTGCAGAAAATGAGGGCACTAGCCAAAAAGTAATATGCAGGTATAACTGCTACATAAATACAGTAAATTCAATATGTGCATAGAGTTTATATGATGCATAAGATTCTATCTAACATCTATCTGATCATCTATCTTGTATACAATGTATGCTTTGTGTATAAAGAAACATGTATGTGTCCTATGTTTACCCATTCAAGGAAACAAAGTGCAACAAACCATATGTCCAGGATGAGAAGAGTTGCTACGATTGCATAAACTCCATCACTAAAAGCCTCCACGCGGTCCTTGCTGAGGGGCTCGTTGGGCAGGTAGGTGTAAAACAACATGGAGTCTGGAGTCTCCTCCACCTGACCTGAAGTGGACAACATTTGGTTTAAGTCTTAAAAAAGGTGAAGCACGTGACACATTCTGAAATAAATCTACATCCAGATCCAGAGTATATCTGACCAGAGGTCGGCACATGTTTGATATGTGTCCCCTAACTCTCGCAATAAAATCTAGAGCTTACCAATTGCTTTGCTGCGGCACCACTTCAAAGACTGGGAGATGTACGGCAGGAAGATAACAATCGCCAACAGCACGTAAGACTGAAAGACAAAGTGAAAATGTCACTGCGAAGAAGAGATTTACAGCATCAGCAGTTCAGAGGTAATGTAAACTTTGAAGTGAGTGAAAGACTTGTTGTTTGTGCTGAAATGACTCATTAAATCAATAAACTGACAGAAAATTAAAGCATAATCTATTTATCGTGAATAACCAAGCAAAGATCCCAAACATTTTCTAGTTCCAGCTTCTCAAATGTGAGGATGTTGTACAATAAGACTGTTGTGTGAAGACTTTGGGCTCCTGGGAGTTTTATACATTTAATGATTACTCACAGAACTAATTAGTATGTGAATCTATAATAAAACAATCATTAGTACTACTGATGTTCAAATGTAGCATCTTCACACAGCGGAAGAAAATTAACGCCACCTACCAGCTGTAAGAAGATGAGGGAGAAGATGCTGGCGAACATGCACATGAGGGGAACCCGCATGATGACTTTGAGGATGTGGTGTTTGTAGAAGGTTTGGTTCTCTGAGATCTGGATCTGTTCGTTCAGCAGGAAGGGACGGCTGAAGGCGTACAGCACAATCACCGACTGCGGAAAAACAACACGTAAAGGATTATGACGTATGCGATTGCACAGGATGGAAATAAGTAAGACGTAAATATGAGGTCGTTCCACTAGAAAAAACAACAAAAGCAAGAACAACATTTTTTTTTTGAGGTTTCAGAGGATTTACATATTAATTCTCCAAAAGGACTGGATTAAAAACACTTTGACATACACACCTGAATGACACCTATCACCATCACACAACCACAGAAGAGTAAAATCCCGAGGAGGTTCGTAGGGAAGGTCGCCATCAGAGAGAACTGCGCAGATAAGACACGCCGTACGTTAGAGAGCACAAATGAATCGTTCAACTTAACATTTATTTGTGCAGCAAACTGTGATTTATTCAGCTGCTGCGCCGCAGAGACTCCTACTCACTGTGTACGGCAGAAAGGTTATCAGCATCATGCAGGCCTGAAATAGAACCGAAAGCAGAACTTCACATTAGAAAGAAAGACACAGCTCACCAGAGAAATGACTCTTTTCTTCCAGTATGGAAGTATTAAGTAGAAGTATTAAGTATTTGTCTATCCAGTTACCATAATAAGAAATAGAGCTAATTAAACTGTAAATCAGATCATAAAAGGACAAGAAATGTCATTTACAGGGACAATGTGTCCAGCTGTGTTTATTAAAACTGATAACAATTTAAACCCAAACTTAGATCGCATAACCAAAGAATAATACATCCTAGACATTATTACAAGTCACATTAGCTTTGCTTTTTGAGAGGCTAATTTTCCTTACTGAAATATCCAAGATGGTCAAAATGATTATTACTTGTGGACAAACTTCAATAAACACAATCAAGCACTGATGGCCTCAGTGATACTGTACTTACCAGGTTTAGCAGTGCAAGGCAATCATCAATTCGTACAATCACTTGAAATAACCTGTGAAACACATAAAATGAGGAAGTGATAATGAACCTTAGATATACTACAACTACAACTACTACTGCTGCTGCTGCTGTTACTGTTACTGCTGCTTATAATAATAACTCACCTGATATGAGCAGCCCATGCTACAGTCACAATCAGGAATGTCATTAAGTAAACAGCAATCTTTGTTGTCAGCAGAAGTTGAAAACTCTCCCTCAACTCCTGCAAGACGGACAAACATATACATTTATTTTCAACAAACAACAAAGACAACAAACATTTACAGACTGCACAGATTTGTAGTATATCCGGTGAATCAATAGTGAAGTTACAGTGACCTTAACTCAACAACATCACCAAGTTACTACTGAATATCCTTCATTCAATAAAGACATCATTGTGTTATTACACAGCTATTACTATTGTCAAACATTACCTCATCATCTTCCATCTTGGTATGGGCAACAGGTAATATCTGTGAATAAAGCAAACTGCATTAGGAGAAATATCTAAAGTTCAGTGAAGGGGACCTGACAGTGACAGGGAGCATCTGTAGAGACAATCTGACTTCCAACTGACATCTTAACACTCATCTTACCTTAAAAAGTCATCATTCAAAATTCTCTCAAGTAAAAGAATGAAACCAGAAATAAATAATATCTAAAGTATCAGAAGTAAAAGTAGTGGCCCTTTTTGGAGTGCTACAGTATATTATTATAGTATACAGCAGTGGTCCTCAACTTTATCTATAGACCCCATATTGATAAAGTGTTAAGAGTTATTCCAAAACTGTCTGTACTGTAGATT